ACAGAAGAGAAATAGAAGAGAAACCACTTTTTCTTCCCTTTGTTTACTGTCCTTCCAGGGATCTGCTGTTTTCCTAGTGCTCAGGCTGAGAGATTTCTTCCAATCCCATATGCATACACTAGGACTCATCCTTTGTGGCCTGTTTATTTTGGGAATTAAACTTTGAAACTGCTTTCATTTTCAGTCCCTTTAAACATGCTCAGCTGGGCTGACCAGTGCAGATGAGAGAGGGCTTTTTTGATATGGCTTTTGGAAAACAGACCTTTTAAGACTGTTTTGGGCACAGCTGCACTCTACTCCAGCTGTATTAGTTGAAGCCAGTTCTCACATTAGCCAATGATAATGCTTTCAGAACCCAGTTCAGCATGTAGATGGGGTCCAGGAGTGCAAAAAATTATTCATTCCCCATCAGAACTGTCATTCCATGTGAGGGCTCCTTTTTGATTCCCTCACACTTTGTGACATAAGAGCAACTGATGGGTACTCTCCTGCTAATGTGCTGTGTTCGTACTACATTATTATGCAGCAGCAGAGGACAGCTGGGCAGGAAAGGCCATTGGCTTTACAGTATTTCACTTCCACAGGCACTATCTCAGGGATCATTTCTTTGTCACCTTCTTTTAGTGAGAGGAAAAAGTCTGACATCTCTCTTTCTGAGGAGCTGAGGGTGGAAAGCTTGTCTGTATTAATGATGCAGATTGTAGGGCACCTGGACAGTGGGGAGGTAGAGGAACAGCTTCTCAGGCCCATTTCCCATTCCCCATTACACTTCTGCATCACATCAGACACAAGTCTCTTACCTTAAGGTTCATGCTGCTTTAGGTCCAACTGACCTCAGTCATCCTGTAATTTCATATGGCATTGCCCTACCCTTGGTGGGCCAGCGTTCCTGATATACACTTTAGTCAACTTCTTCCATAAAAAAAACCAAGTTGTCTCCTATTCTACCATTTCGGCGTGGTCAGATTCTTTGACTGAATCTGAATATCTACTCATTTGACTACCCCATCTCAAGGGCTTATAAGACTATAAGGACCTAAGACTCAAGGGCTTATAAAAACTGATCATGGCCTGACAGGCCACATGCTGTGACTTTCCCTTTCCTTTTCTTGCTCTGTTCCTCTCTACATCTAACCCTGATTTAAAAATAAGAAATAACTAATATATATTATATATATATTACAAATCTGTGCCAGTTCCTCACCAGCTTGAGTTTCTTATAAATCATATCCCAATCTCTCACTGTTCATCTATGTGACATTACACTATAAACCTTCATGTCTGTCTTTTCTATGCCTGTATGGGATCCAGCATATTGAGACCATTAGGGCCTCTGGGCACATCCATTATCTGAATGCTTATTGGTTTTACCACCACTACTCTATTTTGTTCTTATTATCAGGGCTGAGTTAGTAGTATCATGTATTATCAAAGTTGATCAATACTTCCCATTTTAAGACTCTGTTTTTAGTTGCATATAATTTTGCCAGTCTCTAGCTGACTGAGCTGAAATTTTCCAAAATGGGTCAACCATTTCTGACAAAAATATCTTATTTTGCTCATGTTAAAAACATTCTCATGACCTTTTCTTTGAACGAGTCTAGCACCTCCCTTTGGAATAAGGACTTTTGGTGTAGAGTGACTTTTGCATCAAAGATATGCCTTCCCCCCCCTTCGCCATGAAAATCTGCCCAGATTTCATCAAAGTTACAAGTGATTAAAAATCTCTGCACATACTCAGTAAAGGCTTGCTAGAGACTTCTGCCTGAAGAGCATGGTTTGAACAGCAAGGAGGAAATAAGGCCTAGGGCCACCCATTGAGCTATGAGAAAAAACAAAGTATTGAATAGCTGCTCATTAATTCACTGCTATCCACCCTGTGCAGTTATTGAGACAGGGGTCCTTGGAAAAACGAGCATGTGATTTATATAATTGAAGGCTGAATTACAATATGTACACGCAAGGGGGGCAAATTAAGGTCTCACAGGGAACCATAATTCTGGCATTTCCTAACTTTTGAATGGTTAACTTTGTAATCTCAATGTGCTCTCTTAACATATTTTTTGGTTTATATAATATGTGGAATGGTTTGATGCCTTTTAGTTGCCTACAACTACCTTGCTTTGTATGCTACAGAACAGTCATGACTACATTGTACTGGTAGGAACTCTTTTTAGTTCTCCACAAAAAATGAAAGAGTAGGCTCACATAAACCATTACTAAGAAAGGAAAACCCTATTTTAAGTTGCTCTACAGAAACTGTCAAAGTACCTGCTGGCTTAATTAGTTATTAATTCCAGTTTCATTAGGAAGGAATTGCACTTTCACTAGCAAATTCCTGCCGCTGGATTTTTAAAAGTGGGTGTTAATACTGCCTGTTTCATTTTGAGGGTGCCATCCTAAATAATCTTGTACCTGACAGACCAAGATGCTGAAAACTTACATCTCTTATTGGTGTTTGTGTCACTATTCACCCACTGAAAATTTCACAGGGCCTTGGACTGTAAGTTATTTGACTCTTCATTTAGGATTAGGTTGTGACTTGGGAGAGCAGGTAAGGCCTTACACCTTTGGGCATGCTACCCAAATGCTGAGTTTAGTTAAATAGGTGCTTAGCAGAGATAAGCATCTATTTATTTTCCTCTCACAGAGCAGGGGTGGAGATCTGAAAAAATTGTGAATAATCTTGACTCTTTTTCCTTCCCTCCATAAACATCTCTCTATCAAAGCTTCTTTCCAGGTCTGGAATAGCTGAAATTTGGTGACCTTCTGGGTATGCTACAAAAGCCATCTGTTTGAAATAGTTTTAGGAGAAGGCTCAGGGTACATACTAGCCACGTCTACATGAGAAATTGGCTGCTCAGTTGTTACTGCACAGTAATTTAGTAGTTGTATAAGCAAGTACTAAATGAGCGCACAGTAACTCCCGAAGTTACTGCACAGTAGCATCACTGAATGACTTTTTGCTGATTACTACTTTGCAGTAGCATCACAACACACTTTGTGCCACATGACACTACTGTGCAGTAGTAACAAGCTATTGCGCAGTCAGCATCTCATATAGACGTGGCCAGAGTTGTGTAGATACCAGAGTTTCTGTTGGGTGGTGTCTGCCTGGCTATCCAGAAGAGCCCTCTAGATGGAACATGCACCTGGGAAGTGGTTGACCCAAGTTCAAATCTCCGATCTGCTTGATTTGGAGCAGGGACTCAAATTTCAGTCATCCTTGGTGACTGCCTCAACCTCCTAGCCATAGAATGAACCTTTCTCTCAGGTGCAATTAATATTTAATTATTATACCAAGTGGAACAGCTTCAACAGTCAAGATAAAGAAAGCCCCCCACCAGGATGTGTCACTCTGGGATGTGGGAGATATGTGTACAGGGCTCTGCTCCAAATCAGGTAGAGCAGGAATTCGGACCTGGGCTCCTCAGAGTTCCTGTTGCAGAATCCTGAAGGAAGAGATAGCACCTCTTTGGCCAGGGATGGGTGCCTAAGCAATGCCCCTTTCCTCTATATTTCACTCCTACGTAATGTCATCAGCTCCTTACTCAGCTGGTTTCAGGCGATCACTGTTTCTACTTCTTTCCCTTATTCTGAATTTTATAGAGAGCTTGAATACTTGGAGCTAAAGATTCAACTGGGGGGTATGAAGCTTTGGAGTTAGGTGTTGCAATGTTGAGTGGAGCTGTGACTCAATACCTCTGAGGTTCTTGAGCGTTGGCTGGACGTCTTTTTAGTTAACATGAAAATCTAAATAAATAAGTGTTGAGTTTTTGTTTTCCACTGGAAGTGAATGGTATGCAGAAATATGTTTTGTTTCAGAGATGTGCTGACCTCCAGGCACACACCTCATGTAGGCTCCTTGGAAAAGTCCACCACAAGTGGGAATGGACTGTGTGATGTCTAGAATTTGGCTCAGGAGACAAGATTGGTCTCCAATAGGAGCTGCTTATTTCAGAATGCTTTTAACAACTGGGGGACGGCAACACTAAAGATAAATTCAGTATTTTATTTTGCCAAACTTGACTCTGATATAAAAAATTCTTCCTTGTCCTCACTGGTATTTCCTGAAGTAAACCAAGACCACATCAAAATCATATCATCCCATGTCCATTTCTGCTTAATGAGGCATCTTCCTGTAGATCAGTTAGCACAAATACTTATTCATTCATCTTTTCACTGATCAGTCAACCACAAAAATATAACTGACATTTAAATGGTGCCGGAGGAGAGGCAGACAGGTTAGCCAGGCTTGGGATGCTGCCAGTAATCCCACAGTGTAATAAGTACGCTCTCAAAAAAAATACCATATGAATTAATAGAAGCTGAGCTGGAAGATATGGTTTTTACAAATGTTAATTATAGCTGACAGCTTGGCATATTAGTGCAGAGTATTTCACCAGTGTCGGTTTCAGGCTCTGTTTGCGTGATCGTATTATTATTGTCGTCATCGTCGTCGTCATCATCATCATCATCATCATCCTCCAAAGTGTGGGATTTAGTGTCTGTACAAGGCTATGAAGTCATGTCATTTGAGGACTTTTACGCACATTGACAGCTGTATGTAGTTTGCTGGAAGGGGCTGGAGCCTTTATTCCTGGATTTGGTTCCCCATGGCCTTTCATCACCATGGGGGTCGTTTGAGGAATCATGGCGCTAAGTATGACTACAGTAGCGATGATGGTCTTCAATATGTGTGCTGGCTTGTGATATGTCAGCTACTGCTTTCAAGCTGGAGAGTGTATGTATCAGCTGCTGCCACATACTAGAATTATTTTATCTCCCATATCCAAGGGTCTTTAGAAAAATGTTCTTAACATGTTCAGACTCGGGAAGGCAAATAGGGCTATTGTGATTCCAAACTGGGGAATACATTTGAAACGTACAGAGCTAATTGCTGTGGGAAAATGTACACACAGTACATCCCTGGATTGTTCAGAGCACTCGCTCCCCATATTTCAGTAACGTTTTGTTTTAAATCTTGTCTTTCTCTGCAGGTAATGTGAATTACGCAATAGCTGGACACATCAAAGCATTCAGAAATATACATCTCAGCCATATCCTGAGGACTAGTTCCCTGTGGATTTCACTACTGTGGGTTAAGTGTTGTCACCTCGCAGCAGAGTGAGATATAATCACAGGTCAGCCTCAAGCAGCATGTGATGTTTGTGGTATGTGTTTAAAGAAGAAACGCCATCTTCCCCTAAAAAGGCCCAATCCTGCAAGATGTTGAGCTTCCCCACCTTCCATTGACATGAACAGAGGCTGAAAGGCATATATATCATCTTGCAGTGGTTGACTTGAAAATATGCTTATGATCACAGGTCTTCCAATAAGTAACAGTAATTATTTGGAAGGGGAAGAAATGGTGCAAACAGAAAGCATTGTGTCCTATGGCCAGCATCCTTTTCTAGGCCTGATAGTAACTACAGGATAAGCATTTTTCCAACAACTACACCAAGGTTAACTTCTGGAACTGGAGTGAAAGAGGAGAAATTAAGTCATCAGTGGGCCCTTTTTCTTGGAATAGCCCTGAAAGTTTCCAACAGTGGCTGGGCATTAAGCAGTGGCAAAACCACTGAGTTCACACCAGTAAGGCTTTACAGGACTGGCATTAGGTATGGCAAAGACACTTCCAAAGGAGCAGGGCAATAAAAGTTACTGGCCTTGATCCTACCATTGTCCTCATTTCAGGCAAGAGTACAGTCATCAGAGGGAATTTTGCCTGCCTCCGGCCTCGAAGGTCAGCCCCATTGTGTTTGTACAACATGCCTAGTTTAAACATTGACCCACACATTCTGAAAGCATTGAACAGAGTTTTCCTGAACAAGAATCACTGACTTTAAGGGAGTCCCTGAGCAACCCTTTAAGAATATACATGTCAGAGTTGAAGCTCTCGCTTCATTCTTGACTGTTCCTAGGCATTGAAGCACACATGATATGCAACATTTGGCACTCTTCCAACCCCCTAACAGCACTCTGAATAGACAAAGTAAGAGATAAGAGTGAGAGGTTTATTTAACTGTGAATATTTGCTGATGTTAGGCTGTCAAATATTAGTTTGATGGGGTTTTTTTCTCCCTTTAATTCATAAGTTTTTAAAATTGGTGTATCTTTAAGACAGACCCTTAGACGGACACAATATTCTTCCTGTCCTCTTTGTCACCCTTATTACATAATAAGAGTTATATAGAGTCTAATAAAGGCTATAATCCACATAATAAAGTGGATTACAACCTTTATTAGAGCACTTTGCACCACACACATTTGAGTGCCAAGGGTGCAAGATCACACTCTGTAGGCTGTGCAGTTCTCATAATTTAATTGACCCTCTTCATTCTCTCATACTTCAGTGAGCTTGCCTTATTCTCTCTGACTGGTTTCTCTGTTTTCTGCATCAGTGGCAGCAATCACGAACATTTAGTAGCTTTCTCTCACACCAGCCTTTGTGCTTTCTTCAACATTGTGCCATATGCCTCCTTAAAACAAAACTGTATTTTCTTCTCAAAATTCACAGCCATTGTGATGACAGAGAAGTCAGCTGCTGTTAAGGTCAAATCACAGGCAGAAATGATATTCTGTATGACAGTTCTCATGATTTATGGTTCTTTTTTCATAATGGCTCAGATCCTAGAATGACACAATTATGTTAGAATCTTGTAGTTCTTGGGGATGACAAAGGGGGCAGGGAAAGGGATAGGGACTAAGTTTCTAGCTCTCGTGGTCACAGAACATTTGGAAAATGTGAACTCCAAAGCCAGAAGGTAAATAAAAGCCCCAACTGTATTGTTTTTAAGATCTATTCTTTTAAAGGCAATCTCAGGATTGAGAGGTCTCGATACATGTTTTCTGGGGCTGGCAGTACTGTTCATTGTATATTTTTAGGTTTAAAAAAAATCTCAGAGTTCAAAACCAGCACACTGTATGTTAGCCTGTCAAGCTGCATCATCTTATTGCAGCACCCTTGGCTTCCTTCTGCAACTGTTCCTACTGTTTACTATATTTACTGTTTCCTGTCTGGTTTCACATGAAGGATAGATTTTGCAAATAGATCCTTCTGGGTGCATACCTTTTACTTGAATGTAGTCCCACTGGGCTTCCAGATGGGAGGTTTCCTTGTAAGATCTAGCTCTTAGACTATCTGCTGGTTAGGGCAGGGCCCGTATGTTTCTATCTGTTTGTTCACTGGAATCCAGTCCCTGAATGACTTTTTGGGGTGCTCCTTTTGGAATAATTAAATGAATAACAATTAGGTTCTAATCCTTCCTTTCCATGATGATGAAATCACTGAGCACCTTGCGGTAAGATCTAAGCATTGTGCAGGGTCATGTGTGTACCTTCCTGATTTTCAGAGGCAACAAAATCCACGGCTCCCAATTCAGTTAGAGTTCTGGGTACTGAGCACTTCAGATAATCAGTTAACTGTCTGACATGTTTGTGGAGATACAGATACTTTCATTTCCCTTTTATACCTACATAAGATGAGCTGGTCACTAAAATAATCTCCTTAAAAGTCTAATTCTCATACTGGCAGTGCTAGCAATCATATTGGAGATTGCAGCTATTTACTGACTGATAGAATGGCATCCTGTTGTATCCTCTGTCCAAAAGAAATATGTAACCAAACGTTTCATCCTCATGTTACTGATGGGTTGTATTGTGTCATAATTTTGTCAGCCAGTCACATAGGACCTTAATATGTTTCAGCTGTTTGAGGGGTGTGGAAACTTAAGCAAGTCTCACTTGTGTTTTTTTTTTCTTTTTTTCTTTTCTTCAGTGCTGTAACATGATAGCCACCCTTCCAGCTTTTAGAAATGAGCTTCAGCATTTCAGAATGTATTATTTATCCTGTTGCAGATTGTGAACAGCATCTAAAATTGAAGTGGGGAAAGGGTCCTCTAAATCTACAGTGGATGTGAAGAAGCACTGTTGCTTACAGAGTGCTTGATGAAAAAGTAAAGCTGTGCATGATAGCTTCATAGTTGTTAGGAGCTGGAAGGGACCTTACAGATGATTGGGTCCAGCCCCCCTGTATCTGGGTAGGAAAGACCACTGGGGTCAGATGGCCGCAGCAAGATGGGCATCAAAACACTTTTTGAACATCACCAGGGTGGGTGACTGTACCACCTCGGGGAGCCTGTTCCAAACCCTAGGTACTCAACCGATCATTACCTACTGTTGTATTTGGATTGCTCCTGGCCTCTGTCACTTAAACTGGGTTCCAAAATTATTTTAAAAATTTTTCATGAAACTTTACCTTAAGCTTAGGGGGAGCTAGTCTCAACCACTGTCAAAACTCATGTAGGGGGGATACTACAATAGCAGGTTTTTCTGTTCTTTATTTTTAATGTAGAGAATTTTATGTAGATAATTATATAGAATATAGATAACTATTCCCTTCAGAGTCCACCCACTGAGCTGTTGGCACTCTGGTAGAGGTGAGATTAGTACAGAGATTATGAATTTAGGGCAGAGCCTGCTCGTACAATTTATGGAAGGTTTCTTGTGCAAAAGGGCAGATGCTTGAGAAAATGCAGAAGTGCTTGATGTAGGCTGTTATAGGTGTTATAGGCTGGCATCATGGGTGGAGTGAAGAGGACAAAGCACGACATACAGATAAGTAGGGAAGAACAGAGCTCTGAAGAGCCTTGCAGCTAAGCATCAGAAACTAGTGTTTCATGAAAGGAAAAATCAAAATAGGGGAGGGGGAAATGGTCAAAGAGATGGGCCAAGAAGATGGGGACGCAGCTATGGGAAGAAGGTGTGTTGGGAAGGGTGGATTGGAAGAAATTGCATAAATCAAAAAGGAAGATAAAAGTTGTATTGATATTGTTAGTATTGCAGGACTGATATTCAGAAATGTTATAGAAAAAGAATTGTCAAGTTTTGAATACGTTATGGATATACAGGGCTATTGACTGGATGCAACCAAAGATGACACCCAGGGCGAGAAGGATGTTAGGGTGGCAAAGCTGTGGGAAGCTAAGAAAGAGGAAGAGGGGAGAGAAAACAGAGTTGAGTTTTGACAATATTACATTTAATTTCTTGCCAGGACACCTTCAAGGTAACACCTTAGCCTGTGTATCCAATTATAGAAACAAATGGTGAGAAGGAAGGGATGGTTCAACTTTTTTTTTTGCACGAGAAGACTTCTTTTATTGGAAAAAAATCATCTTTGCAGGAAAAATTGTTGATGTCTTCTGTCTTTCATTAAACTTCTGGCACTGTTGCCTTGCCAAAGAGGTATTTAATATCATTATTAACCTTTTTCCTTTCCTAACAATGATCTTTTCTCCCTGAAAATCAGATTGTTAATGACCAAACTCTCTGAAATAATTTTGATATGAATTTCTATCATGATTCTAGTAAAATATGCCCATGACGAAATAGTGAGCCTATTTAGAACCCTGAGAAACAGAATTGGCTTTGACATTTCTAACAACAGTCATCTTTGAGCATGGATTCCCATGTTTGTATGTGCTTGTGGGTGTTCGCAGGAAAGCCACCTTTAGAGCCTGATTGGTCTCCATTCTTGCACAGTACCAAGCACATTCTCAATGCTTAACCAATAGTAATAGAAATAAATTGTGTAAGAGTACAACTCTTTAAATTTATATGTAGAAAAATTATCCCATAGGCTTATATGAAATAGTGTGTATGGTAAAATGCATTCTGAACTAAGCCTATGCTAGGCATCCTCACAAGATTAACTATTCTGGACAATAAAAGCATAAAAAACTGGACAGCCCTCTCCACCCCATCTGCAAAGTATACCATGTGAACTGAGATATGAGAGTACAGAGCAAAAAAGATTAAGAGGACATCTTTGATCTCTTGTTTTTTCCTACCGTTATTAGTAACACTGTGATTTGTTACTCCTTGTGCTGGAACACAAATATATGTGTGGTACAGCAGAGGCCAAGCATAGAAAAATGTATTTTACCCTGGTTTTACTTATTATTAATACTCCTGTAATTCCATTGACTTCATGGAGTTGCATGCGCTATTAAAGTGGTGTAAGGGTAAATACAAGCTGATTCTATATTTGAACCCAGCCCTTTTGGTTTCCCCAACCTACCCTCGAAACTAAAGATATTTGGATCCTACTCTACATTCAAACTTTGCAACCCAGGCCTCCCTGTAAAACACGTGAAGACATAGCTTTAGGCTCCAATGTGACAGTTTTGTAACATCAGGAATAGCCACAAAATGTTTGTGAGTTCAAAACTGCTATTAGAAGATAACACTGCCAACAGCAAGAACAGTCCTGCCAAATGGAATGGAAAAGATAAGTGTGCTGAAGAAACAGAAGCCAATGAAATATATATAAGAAAAAAGCAAAACAAAAAATGTTCAGCATGTTATCAGATGGCCTTTCTACATTGGAAGTATAATGAAGGAAAAAGGGTCATCACAATTTTTTTAAAGAATTGAGCTTTGATGGATAACATGACTGCGGTCAAAACAGTAATTCAAACGTTATGAGTAAAGCTACTGGTACTCAGTAGCACTTGACTGACAGGTTGTATAAGGTTCATGCCTACTACAACAAAAACTTCCCCTAGCTTTCCTATATTTCTTCATTCTCTTTCCCATCCAATGTACATGACTTACTACCCCTGGGTATTTAAAATATAAATGCATGTTATGTTTCATAGTTTCATAGTTTCTAGGGTCGGAAGTGAGTTGGTGTGTTTCTTTCCTTTGGGCAATGGCACATGACTCCGGGGATCAGGCTGGCTCCCGTATTATCACATGCAACTGCTATTCAGATTAGTGGCAGATGCACCAGACCCTTTCATTTGGAAAAACTAAAATAAGATAACAGGATTGCACATTAAGAGGCCTTGAGAACATTGATTCAATAAGAGCAGGAAGTTTTAGGTTACTTGATCCATCAGTACAGTAACTTCTTAGTGGGGCTGTAGGACTTAATGTGGAAAGTTCATGGAAGAGCCAGCATTATTCTAATCTATCACAATACTGTCGCTGAATTAATTCATGTGACCCTTCCTCTCCTCCCTCTTCCTTCCCCCCTAACAAACCTATAATACAGTGCTATTGGCCAGTTTCTTCATGGAAGTTTCATCTGATTCATTTTGATTTTGTTACAGTTATGTTGATTGTGCTGTGCAGGACTGGGGTGCACTATTGAGTGAGAGGCATTAGAATGGAGGGCAGAGGAGGGAATATAGCAAACATCTGTAGAGGGTGAGAAACAGTAGCAGCAGGGAAGGAAAACAGGGTGTGCCTGCTCCAGTGACCTTATTTACACCAGCCTGCAGAGGAGGGGCCAAATGTTCTCTCGTGAAGGAAATGAATCCACACGCATGCAGGAACAGGTCCAGCACTATGTTGTTGGCAGGACACCAGCAGTCGGCTTCACGCTGCAGGAGCTCCGTGCATTGCTGGCAGATTCTGTCAGCAGGGCTTAGATTCTTAGCGCTGGGGTGATAAGCTGTGGGGTGTCCTTAAAGAAATCCTCTACTCCATCCAGTGCTAATGGGAAGGACACTGCCACCCTGTCATCCTTCCAACATGAGTAAGCAGGAAACTGTGTCCCTGTGTCCCTCCTCAGAACTATTTGCCTGGGCTTTTCCCAGTTAATCTTGTTGTATATGCAGTTGGGCACCTCAGTCTCATGGTCTTCTTTCTGCTTCCTGAATGAATAAATTGAAGTTCTTCAAATGAGGAAATAGTTAATGCAAGCCAGTGCACGTCTTGCTGTTTCACACAAGTAGGCATTCTCGCTAAAATTAACCATTCCAGTTTTGTGATCATTTTCAAATAC